TTACTCTCCCAACACTGAGGAACTGTTCCCCTGAGGAGGCAGCAAGGATCCTGTTTAGGGGTTTGACCTTCATTGAAGGACAATGTTCAGATTGGCATCAACAACACAAAGAACAAAGAGGTACCTGAACAGGAATCAGGGCTCCATGTACCCAGGGAGACAATGACACCCAGAGTATTAAAAGCCTGAAACCTACTGCAGCAAAACTCCCTTGGTGAAGACAGGATTCTATCTTAGAAAAATTCCTTAAGAAACTGGATTTAAGTACTAATTCTTTAGTATGCTGAGGGGAGGTGTAGCAGGAAAATAGTTAAGTGTTATCCCCAGGTGACCCCCAGGTGACTTAGCTGTGAATCTTAGACCAGAATTCAGAAGCTCACATGATGTGAACGTGTGGCAGGTTTGCTTGAGGAGGAACCAAAGTAGACAAGCTTGCAAGGTCTACCCACTGCAGACTGGGAGATCAATGCTAGTTCCAGGGCCCTGACTTTGATGGTTGGCAGGGGAAGTGAGAAAGGGTGTACTTAAGTACCTTCAATCAGGACTGCCTTAGAAACTGGACCACACTGGAGCCTACTATCAATGAGAGGTTCACAAGACTCAACTTTAAGGTTTGGGGAAGCAGCAAGAGAAAAGGGTCAGGGCCAATCCAAAGGACCAAAGACAAAGGGCTTATCCTTTATGGCATGTTGTTAATAGAGTAGATTCTATGTGTGCAGAGAAGACCTGTGCTTCTAAGGTTTTCAGCGGCTGTTTTTTAGGAAGCAGATCACCAAGCTACCTTGAAGCATCTCTACTGTTGTTGTTAAGTGCTGTGAAGTCAGTTCTGACTCACAATGACCCTGATTAGGATTTCTGAGGAGCAGCTGGTGAGTTTAAACTGCTGACCTTGCCATTCAAACTGACGTTGCGGTTTACTGCTTATCCTACAGCGCCACACCAGAACTCCAAGGCATTTCTGGGTGGGCTCAAACCTCAACCTTTTGGCTAGTATTCAAGTGCTTGTGGCTGCCCCATGCAAAACACGTACCTACTAACATGTTCTTTCCCAATCACCTTTGCATCCATCACATATCAAAAAGAATGGGCAACTAGAAACCCTCTTGATTAGGATTCTAGTGTGTGGTGATAACCCTCTGGATCCCTAGAAATCATATCTACAAAAACAGAGATCATAATATTTATCCATAAGGGTAACTTTACAATCAAAAGAGAGGATACTGAGAAACATTCAGTGCTATGTAATTATAGCAGCCTCATGTTTTGGCTCTTGCACACTAACTTCTATAAAGTATAAGCAGCTGATCTAAGGAATATGGAAAAACAGTGTTTATGATCAATCAAACATAGGTGCACATTTTGTCTCTGCCACTCTCAGAATGCCAGTCTGTGAAAACAGAGATAATCAGGCTTTCTCCCAGGGCAGTAGTGAGGATTAAATGAGATCATGTGTGAAACGTTTCGCCTGGTACCTAATGAATCCCCTGATGAAAGGTGGCTGTCATCTTCAGAACTATACCCCAAAATTCCCCGAGACCCCTGAGTAACAGAATTGGGGCATAGCTGACCATAGTTCTAGCAGGTTCGAACAGGTGGGTTCTTGGTTTCAAGTACTTACATCAATAAGGTCAGAGAGATCGTGGATGTAGTACTTGAACACAGATGCGTTGGTTGCCTCCAAAGCCAGCAAGTACTCATTCCGGGCTTTAATGGCCTTCAGCTTATTCTCCGTGTACTTGGCTTGGCGCTGAAAAGGAAACAGAAGCTCAATTTTACCTTTTTTTTTTTTTTTTTTTAAGAGGTGATTGTTCTCTGAAAGATGAAAGTACGGTACATTCGAGAACCACAATTATGTTACTATTCCCAATGCGTCTGCCTGAAATTGGGTTCTAATTCTGTTTAATGAGATTCAAGGGCATAATGTAGATCAATGCAGGAAAGGCTAATGAGGCGCCCTATGCCAGATACGTGCCCCACTTTGGTTTTACCTGCAATGCCAGTTCTATCCTGACATTCTCTGCCACCTGAAAGAGGTGCCACTACCCCCATCCCTGCACACATGACATCTCAATCCAAACTCTCTGCCTACAGGCCCCCAGGCAATAGAATATTTAGCTCGATTTATCAAATGAGTTGAGAAAAGATAACTATTGGTTCTTGTTTATCTTCTAGAGATTAAAAACTTGGGAGCTTATATCCCTCAGTTCTTCCAATAAGAAAAGTTTCTTCCAGGGTGTATAGCAAGAACTTACTTGTGGTCATTATGCAATAAAGGAAGACGGAGCCCCCTTGTTCTGCTCTTCAGGGCACCTACTAGGACATTCCTATCAAAACTACTCCCCAAAGCATTCCTCCATAACCCTGCAGCTGTCAGAGCAAACCCACCTTCTCCTTCATCTTCTCAATTTTCTTCACTGAGCTCCTCCGGACATGCTTTTCCTCGATGCGAACGTTAGATGAGGAGTCAGGGGAGCGTGGAGTCTGCCGGTCCTCCTGCTTTACCGATTTGCCAATTTGCTTTTCCTCTTGCTTCTCAGCTTCCTTTAGCTTGCTCTGAGCACTAATGCTGTCGGCATTGTACATGTGATACGTCTTCATGACCTGCAAGACACCCCACCCCCAACCCCAGAGGTCAAGCAAAGGGGTCAACACTCTGCTTCACAGAATAAGTCAGAACTCTCCCCCGGAAGCAATATCCTCAGACCCTTAAGGGGGAAATTCAGGATTGTTTGATTCAGTAAACATTATCTATTAGACCATGCCAAGGCACAGGGGAGCAGTATTTGAACTGAGCCAACAAGTCTTACTATTAAAAGGACTCTGTGCCCGCAATGTATTATTTATTTTTATTTCTTATAATTTGTAAAGCATTACTCTTTTATATTGGGCAAGTGTTTTCTAGTGCTTAGTTGCATCACAGTGTTTAGTGGATAAGAAACAACACTGCTCTCAGAATGCGAGGGCCAGGTTAGGAACCCTACAGAGGGCAGCACAGTGGAATAGCCTATCTATTTTGTCCCTTTAGAAAATGGGGGAAAGGAAAAGGTTTCAAAAATACTTTATACTGGTCTGGCATTCTGGGGAGTTGTCTGAGCTGCTTTGTCCAGATATCAAATGCCATCTCCCCACTAGAACCACAGCAACACTA